CGGGCAAGGCATATACTGTGGCCTATAGGGGGGGGGGGGGGGGGGGGGTGATGGGGTGTACACCCCCACACCTCGCTCGCGCGGTTCCTGACTATAAGGGAACCCAGAGATTCTCAAGGCCTACACTATAGAGGTACTCTTAGAATCTCAAGCCCTATGCTATAAGGAAACCCTTAGATCCTCAAGGTCCATACTATAAAGGAACTCTTAGGCCCTCAAGTGCTATACTATAGGCCACAGTAAATGCCTTGTGGATTTCATGGTACCTATATAGTACAGCTGTTGACGACCTGAGGGTACCTTTATAATATAGCACTTGAGGACGTAAGGGTACCCCTGTAGGATATCACGTGAGGACTAAGGGTTCCCTTATAGTATAGCATTTGAAGACCTATGTATACCCTTATACTAGAGCTCTTGAGGAACTAAGGGTATTTCTATGGTATAGGCCGTGAGAACCTAGAGGTATTCCTATAGTATAGCTTTTGAGGACCTAAGGGTTCCCTTATAGTATAGGCCTTGGGGACCTAAGGGTACCGTTATAGTATAGCTGTTGAGGACCCACGGGTACCCACAAGTATAGCACTTGAGGACCTAATGGTTCTCTTATAGTATAGGCCCTGAGGACCTATGGGTACTGTTATAGTATAGCTGTGGAGGACCTAAGCGTACCCCCTGTAGTATAGCACTTGAGGACCTATGGGTACCTCTATACAATAGGGTATAAGGACCTAAGGTTCCCCTATAAGATAGAACGTGAGGACCTACGAGTACCCATGGAACATAGAATTTGAGGCCCAGGGCAGTTCTATATGATAGACATTCAAGAAGCAATAAAAGGTGATGCGTAAATGAAGATGGAAGGACCGCAAATTCTTCGTTACCAGTTACTTGGTAAGGTAACGGTAACTCCCCCTACCCTTAGGTAGCCATTGAAGAGTTATGAAGACTACCCCGAGATAGGTCTTGTGAGTCATGAAGACTACTCGTGGATAGGCCTTGAAGTGTATAAGCACATTGAAGTATCTTAAAGTAGCTTGAAGTATATTAAAGTACAATAAAGTACTTTGAAGTACATTAAAGTACTTCAAAGTATCTTAAAGTACAAAGTACAGTGTTTCCCCCTTGGAATAGACTCATCCAGTCAAATGTTTGGTTGTCTTAGATTTTCTTCGAGTTTCGTGCAAGAAACTATGCACATATGTGCGAGAAGGAAAAGCTTCAAAGAGTTATTCATCGACAACATATCTAATAAAACTAATTCTAGATCAAATTATTTTGGATAAGCAACGGACATAAGATCAAAGAAAATGGAGAATTTTTGTCAATGCACACCCAAAAAAGAAAATGGAAGACGCAAAAAAACGGAAGTGCTCAATGGAAAAAAGTTTCTGTGGTTATTTCTAACCATAAGAGTTGTATAAATCGCAGACATAACAATTGCCACTGCAATTCATGAATTCAGAACAAAATACTCAGTCCAGATTTCGATGACTCCCATGACTCCTGTAACTTTCATGATTCTGATGCGCTCAGAATCACGAAAAGTCGTAATGAGAGCGTCATGGCAGTTCTAGGATGATAAGAATACATTATGTAAAAATCACAGAAATCAACTGTTTCCTTGAAATTATGAGCCAACGTGCGCTTCATAGGAACAGATGGACAAACAAGCAGAACGATTCAAATACTATTCAAAATAGTAGGATTCATGTAGACCAGCGTCGAGAGTGTCTAAACGAGTTTTGACATGGGAATGTCGTAGTGTTTTGACTGTGTATTAGTATTCTAGTAGTTACGAGAAACTCACCTTGTTAATGTTCTGATACACATTAGGCAAGCATCTCATGGGCATCTGTTCGAAGGACACACGTTCTTCGGATATCTGTCTTAGGTTCTCGTGCAAGGTACAGAGTTTTGTAGCTTTTTTGTCTTTGTTATGCTAAAAGAAGTGCACACAATACCTGCTACAAAAAGAAAATAATGCTTCATTGTGTTTCATCTTAGCAAGTGACAGACGAAATTTTAAGAATTTTTACACAAAAAAGTTTTCAACGCAATCTCTGATACGACAACGTAAAATAGAATCAAATCTCTCTAATGAATTAAGAACCCCCTGTAATTATATTGACTAAGATGAGTAACAGTCTCAATGGGGCAACATGTCTCAATGTCTGCCACAGCCTGCGGAGCGGCAGAGAGTGGTTCACTTTTCTCTCTATATACTTCAACATTCATTTAAAGTCGAGTTCCGCAAAAGTACTATTTTTGATTGCCAAAGGTTGTACTTCATGTCATTCCGGCATCGGTCGATTTCACTACGTCTGAATCAATGAAACTTGCTAAAGTCTTCGATCCCACTTGTGATCGTCAACTGATTGCCGTATCAAAAATTGACAAATTTGATAAGGGCATAGCCGAGAAACTGCAAGGCATAGGTGCCGGTGCAATGAAACTCAAACTGGGTTGTGTCGCTATTTTGAATCGAAATCAAGATGAAATTGATCAAAACATTACATTCGAAGAAATGAAAAAGCGCGAAGCACAATTTTTCATCGAACATCATGAACATTTTGGTCATTTGCTGCCAGAATTCAAAGGTAGTGCACAGCTCGTCAAGCGTCTCGCTCGTATTCAACAAGAACGAATCCGGTCGACGTTTCCTCAAATCATCAATAAGTTAAAACAAGAAATTCAGGAGAAAAAACAACAACTCAAAGCCATGCCTATAGCACTTCTATCTGAACAAGACTGTTTGGTCGAATTTCATCATATGACGGCTGCTCTACACAACAGTATCAATGCGAAAATCAACGGTGACTATGATCCAACAACTCATGGTATGAATTCCACCAAGACTCAATCTACATCAACGATGACTTCGCAAAAAACATTGTACGATGATCGTATAGCGTTTCATATCTACGAATATCAGTTAAAATTCGAGGAAGAGTTTAAAAGTCGTTTTCCGGATTTTCTGACAATTGATTATAATGCAAATATTCAAAACTATATTAGAGAAGCGGCTGGTGTTTCACTACCCAACTTCACTAGTTTTCAAATCGTCGAGCGCTTATTTCGACATGAACTCGAATCAGTTTCCAAACCATGCTTTGATCTTGTTAACAATATGTATGATTATATCAAACCGACTCTGATTCGTGGGCTGGAACAAACGTTCGACAAACAATATTCGCGTCTCATCCAGCGTTTACGGGAAGTTATCGAACGGAACGTCAGTGAAATAGAAGAACAATGCCGTGATTATGTGCAAAAGACTCTCGATATGGAAAAACATCTTTTCACTGTCAATAGTCATTACACAGAAACTATCGATAATTTGAAGCACACACTTTTACAAACTATTCCAAAATCACAAGTAGATGAAACAGTTATTACCAAAAACAAGGTATCAAATAAGCAACCTTCACAGTGTACTGCCAACACACAATTAGCGACTCCAACGAATGTTCTCTTTGTCATTGATCATCCTCATGAATCAGATATTTATAAAGCAGCAGTGAATATCCAACTGGCTCTTCATTCGTACGCAGATGTAAGATGTGACTAAACATGAATCTTTGCCATTATTCTTCATTCTATTCAATAGGTTGTACAACGACGAATGATTGATACAATCTCACAAATATGCTACTATTACTTCGTGACTCGGTGTGCTCGGACAATAAATGAAACATTGATTGGCTCAATTGTCTCGTCGTCCGAACTTTTCGAAATCATGCGTGAACCACTGGAGCAGGCGCATAAACGAAGCAAATTGACAACAAGCATCAAATCTCTTGAGCAAGCATTAAAACTAGGACAGAAACACTTGTAATGAGTATCGTACATCATTGCAGTGCATGCAATTCATGTTGATGAACACGATGTACCATGCAGTTTTCAACTTTACGACTTGATTTTTCTCCATATCGTTGTGCCTCTCAGTTACTCTTTGCTAATGACATCTGATTGAGAACGGTGTGGGTGTGGATGCGGGTGTGGGTGTGGGTGTAGCCGTGGGGTGTGGGTGTAGGTGTGGGGTGTGCGTGCGTGGATGTGAGCCTAGATTTAGAGGATGGAACCAGATAATCCACCCGCACCCACACCCCCACCCACCCACCCACGCCCACATCCACACCCACACCCACCTACACCCACATCCACCTACACCCACATCCACCTACACCCACATCCACCTACACCCACACCCACACCCACACCCCACACCCCACACCCACTCACACCACCCACACCCTCAAAGATAAGACACCAACACAGATTGATGATATATTGAGAAATTATTCAGAAATTGTTTTTGCTCGAATATTACCACAACAAGAACTTTTTATTGTTGAAGGTTATTTGAAATTCTGTTTCTAGAAAGAAAAATTTTGATGGAAATTTATAGGATGTCAACGGCAAGGTGAAATTGTTGTCGTGACTGAAAGTGATCCAAATGATTCACCTGCATTAAAAAAAAGCTGATATCGGTGTAGCATTGAGTTTGTTCATTTAATTATTTCATGCAAATAATTTGATCATTTGTTATAGATATTACTGGTTTTGATGTTAACAAACAAGCAGCTGATATGTTATTATTAGATGATAGTTTTGCTTCAATTATTACAGGTGTTGAAGAAGGTTATTTATTATTTGAGAATTTAAAAAAATCAATTGCATATACATTAACATCGAATATTCCTCAAATAATTCCATTTTTAATCTATCTAGTGACAGATACTCCACTCGCTTTAGGCACCATAACTATTTTTTGTATTGATTTGAGTACAGATATCATTCCAGCAATAACATTGGCTATAAATAAACTTGAAAAATTAAACGAAAATCATATTAAATGAAAATGCAGTAATAATTAATATATTTATTCAATTCTGTTCAGTTATATGACAAGTAGAATTTTCGACCAGTGTCTGTTGGAATCAGCTTGTAAATTCGGTCATCATCAGTACATTCACATTAACAACAATATCCATACATCAAATAAAAACAATATACAAATAACACGGCAAGTATAATAATAATAGCAATAAACGAATCAGTAAATTCAAGTTATAAGAACTGCTACATATATATCATAAATTTAATATAAATAAACTTGAAAAATTAAACGAAAATCATATTAAATGAAAATGCAGTAATAATTAATATATTTATTCAATTCTGTTCAATGATATGACGAGTAGAATTATAACTTGCATTTACTGATTCGTTTATTGCTATTATTATTATACTTGCCGTGTTATTTGTATATTGTTTTGATTTGATGTATGGATATTGTTGTTAATGTGAATGTACTGATGATGACCGAATTTACAAGCTGATTCCAACAGACACTGGTCGAAAATTCTACTTGTCATATAACTGAACAGAATTGAATAAATATATTAATTATTACTGCATTTTCATCTAATAATAACATTGGCTTATGAAAAAGCTGAAAATGATATTATGAAAAAAAAAAATGAACAGAACTTCAACATGATCGATTCGTGAATGAACGGTAATCTTTCATCAAAAAATAAATAAATAAAAAACTTTCCCTTCTGTGTTTTTAGTCTTGTTTCAATGGGATATGGACAAATAGGACCTAATTATTCAAGTGAGTGCTGGTTTTTTTACTTATATTGTTATTATGGTAGAAAATGGATTTCTTCCATCACGTTTATTGGGTTTGAGAAAATCATGGGAATCAAAGTATATCAATGATTTAGAAGATTCATATGGACAAGAATGGGTTTGATCAAAATTGTTTTTTTTTCTCTATCATAGATAAATTTTAGACAAATGAACAACGTAAACAACTTGAATTCACTTGTCATACAGGATTTTTTATTACGATTGTCATTTGTCGATGGGCTGTTTTAATGATTTGTAAAACACGAACCAATTCTATTCTAAAACAAGGAATGAAGTAAGTTTTTTTCTCAATTGAATAATTAAAGGAGGTTATTATGTAAAATAGTAATTGGATGTTAAATTTTGGTTTGATTTTTGAAATTGTTTTAGCTGCTGTTATCTTTTATACACCTTATTTGAATACCACTCTTCATACACATCCACTCAAGTACGACCAATAAAAGCATTTGATTATTTGTATTTAATGAAGTTTTTTTTTTCGTTAGATTTCGTTGGTAGTTTGTACCGTTACCTTATTTTTTCTTAATCTTAATCTATGATAAAGTTCGCAAATATTTGCTCCAAAAACATTCACATGGTTGAATTCACAGAGAAACTTATTATTAATTTTATAGATTTTTTAATCAGTTTATTTTGTCGCTGTTTTTACAGAAAAGATTTTGAGAGAAACGAAAATCAGAGAAGTTATACGGAATAAAATACCTTTGTTTGTCAGACGAGAAAAAGCCAAAGATCAGTGGACAAAGGTGAAAGATCAAAAATTCAACATGATTTGGAACTTTAGGTGACATTTTGTATTATATTTCAAAAGAGTTCAATCATTTTCACGTCGATAAGAAAGACAATCTTCTTTCTTCTCTTCGTATGACTATATCAACCGAGGTGTAATGAAATTTTTTACTCATATTACAAGAATACACAAAGATATCATATGAACACCAAATGTCTACATTGTTCTCGCTTCGTTCTCTTTATTTCACTTGGCAGAATGTCCGATAATATTCTTTTCGTTCTCTTTCTTTATCTGGGATATATATGTTCGTATCTGGTGGTAAGTGGAGTTCTGTTCTGTTTTTTGTTTTTTGTCCTCAACTCGTTTTTTTCTCTTTGCCGATTACATACAGTTTATCAGCGCAGTTTCTCTTACATAAAAGACGGAGTATATCACATCCAAAAGAGAGCTCACAAAGTGAGTATATTGATGGGGGAGAAGAAAACTATGATAATGTTATCAGGTACCCGGCAGTTGTCAGATTTTTTTCCGAAAAAGAAAATCCTATTTATTAACATCAATTACAATTTCTAACCAATTTGACCAGAGTTTGTTGATGTTGAAGAATCTCCATGCTAGACTTTTTCTTTAATTAATAAGGGCTTAATAAGCTTTTTCTCAATTTCAGAACGATTAAAATATACTGTTGTCTGGATCAATTACGAGAGGATCTCTGCTGACTAGGCATGCACAAGGCTCAGTTAACTTGGTACCCGGTAGAGAGCTGCAATCCACATTTTCTGGAATCCCAACCAGGAGTAAAAGTGGCCAAAAACTAAATTCTAAATTTCTAAAATCAGACTAGATGAGTCACATAATGCGACGGTTAAGCCCTTCCATCAAACAGCAGATCGAAGTCTTGTGATTCTTATCATCGTCAAAAAACGACTTCCGTGAATAGTCCACACTCAAATTTTTTCTACTGATAATAGACACCTTTTCTGGATACAACTAAGTAACAGTTCTAGAGTTTAGTTGTTTATTGGGTAGTCACAGAGAAACGTAGTTCTACTGATATATATAGTTGAATCTATAGGTAGATGGAGACATAGACGAGTAGGTGGCTGTTTAGTAGTCATTTAGACTGACACACAATCGACTGAAATTAATGAGTATTCATTTCTTTTTCGGATGATTGTTAGATTGATTTGGAAGAGAAGATTCAGCTCTCTAACGGCGACGTCACGAAACAAAGATCATCAAACAAATGCAATACAATACATTTGATAAATACTCGCGAAAAGAAAGATTTACGTCGAATCCTATCGCTCCCAAGCGTCCCTGTGGTGGTTTATACGGCTTTATTTCACCCTTCATAAAAGCCGTAGTAAAAGATTTCAGACTTACAAAAGATCAATTACCGTCGAAAAATGAAGCAATCATTCCAATGATCGTCGAAAAAGCTGCTTTGGGTATTATTGAAGAGGGAAAGGAGATCGGAAAACAAGATGATGCCGAAAAAATAGCAAAGACATTATTAGGTAAAAAAGAATTGGGAATGAAAGAAGTATGGAAGTGTTGTGCAAAACTGTATTCCTTGTCAAGCTTCTTGTATCAGAAATTGAATGAGGCCATGCGATTGATAGGAAGTGAAGAACATGAACAGGTTTGGCGAAGTAAGGTACGGACATTAGGACCATTTAGTCTACTCCTATGGGACAATCCATTCAATAGCAAGATGACCAAACCAGACACAGTACTTTATCGTGGCGCCGAACTGTCTGATGACTTTATTGCTTCACTCCAAGAGGATTATTTTGAGCATCCAAAACCACTGCGTTCCTTTCAAGCATTCACTTCATGTACTCGAAATCTCGAAGTAGCTAAGATGTTCGGTAATGTTTTATTTGTTATGGAGCTGTCTATCGCATTTACTGTCGATCTTCAAAAATTTTCAAATTTTCCTGATGAAGAAGAAGAGTTACTATTGCCTGGTGTTTGCTTCACTATTGACCAAATGGAATTTGACACAGATGAGAAGAAATATGTAATTTATTTAACTCTTCAACAAAGACATGCGAGTAAGTCAACATAATATTGTCCTGCAACTTTTCATCAGCATTTATCCATTTATTCTATAAATAAATTTTAGGAACTGATCAACATGAAGTATTTCGGGATGTAGCACAAATAAAGCAACAACACTCCAATCATTCTTTTTTTCATTTTAATCCTAATTATCGTGCTAATTTTGGCGATCAATATGAGCTTGTTTTGCATAATAACCCTGCTTTTCATCTTCTCCATCGTGATGATCATGATACTAGTATTGATATGGTGATTGGTGCTTTTGCTAGTCGTGCGGCCGATCATTATGATCGTTTTGGTCGTGATAGTGATTGGAATGATGCATGATTGACAAGGATGAACCGGGCAACTAAATGAATCATTAGATTGCTAGAACGCATCTGATATACGAAAAAATTGATGAATTTCTCCTCTTGAAAATTCAGCTTGAAATAAAATAAATGTGGAAATCTCGGATTTATATCCGAGAGTTATGTGTACTTCAAAAAGTGAATGAGACAAATCAGTCATCCTAGAATGTCTGGATATAAAAATTTGCGTGGCAAACCTTTTCTATAAACCCTTGAATTCCATTGCCTACTGTTCAACCGTAGGACTTAGGAACGTATACAGCTCAAATTTCACCTGTTCGGCTTTATTTAGCCTCAGAAAGTCGTTTTTCCTATAACATGATTTCTATTGGTCAATACTCAACCAATGGGGCTTCGAACCAAGTTTAGTGCAGATTCTAGTTCTCCGCTCCAGAAAACCTTCGATTATCATCTCTATGGTCGAAAGATAGAGCTCTAATTGGTGATTAATTAGAGCGTGCACAAAAGCAGAACCGATTCTTCCCTATTTATCTTTGCGATGGGTGAGATAATCTTCCTGTTTCCTCATGTTTTATATATCATTTTGTAGCTCTTGAAATTCTCTATCGAATGGTATATAATAGTTGGGGTTTTAATTGACTATGATAGGAAAAGTCTTTTTCGAAAGCGGCGATGGGTCGATTTTTCCATAGGAAGCTATAGGGAAAAATGGGTATTTTTGAAATAACTCAGGAACGGCTCGGCCGATCCTTCTCATCTTTGAACTCGACCGAGATATTCTAAAGGCTGAACTGTGTAGAAAATTTCATCGCGATATGACTCTCCTTTCAAAAGTTATCGTGTAAACGGACGGACGGACGGCCGGCCGGCCGGACACACTGACCGATTCTAGAGTGTACTCACTTTTTGAGTACACAAAAAGGATCCTCTACTCACATTTTAATATTGTTTGCAAAATAGACTGATTTTATGTACGATTTTTTTATAATTCAATAACAGATCCGTTTACAGGATGTACTTCTGGGAGCAATCAATAGGGACTATAACTTTGGATATAAAATTATTGTAAGAACGGGGGAAAGTCGTTCACAAATTCGTCATGATTTCGTTTTCTTATAAAACTTCTTCGAGATATTCATGTCTGTTTTATGTTTTATAGATAGCACATGGAAGATAAGAGAACATTCCCTTTGAAGAAAACACTAGCTCATTAAGTGAAATAAACTCTTTGAATGATGGTTTTAATAGAATGCATACATTTCAAGAACATAATTATCTGCTGATATCGCCATTAACCCTGATTATTTTAGTTGTTTCTCATGTGGTTATATTATTTCTATCGATTTGTATTACAAGCAGACATGTGCAAAAAAAAGAATTCAACGATGTCGAATCTTGAAGGTCTAATGAATTTCTTTTTTTTTAGTTACTCTTTTACTTGTAACGGAAATAATAGTGCAAAAGGCGAAAACTTCATTCACTCCGGCTCAATGTATGAGCGTCTTACATATTTATTGTGCACTTCTCAAAATAGTACATTAAGCAAGAACAGCATATAAGCAGATTCAGATGATTTTACAAGAAAATTTTATCAACTAACAAGCTCCGTTCCAGTTCATAATTTGCTCATCAGTACGATATGTTGATCAGTTGGTAAAGTTCTCTCGTTAAACTTGAAAAAATGAATTATAAAATACCACGATATCGTCGAATAGTTTGAGTCACAACTATACCAAATTTATCTTTGTACAATTTCGATGGTAACACATCGACAATAAATGTCTTCATTGACGGTAAAAATGAAACTAAATAAGCAAAATGAAATAACCATGAGTGACGTGGCGATATACATATACTTACAGATGAAATAATCAATCGACGTAAGACTGATAATACAAGTGCAAATGAGACAATAAGAGAATGTTTATCTTGTTTAAATTGTAATCGCAAATATTCTTTGAATGGTAATCTTCGTTGTGCTGTAAAACGAGAACATACTTTTATAATCAAAGAATTGAATGTATTGATTGATGAAGAATATTCAACAATACACTAAGTTCGTTGTTCATCAACATTAATATCATCAATCAAATGACGATGAACAGGATCATGAAGATGAGTGAAAACTGTTACAATAATAACAATTGGTGTTATCCATTTAGCTATTCGTTTACTTCGAGATTTTTTAAATTTAACACCTTGAATAATAGTTACAGCTCGTTACATGGAAATACATCCATTTAACCAATCATTGATTGCTAGAAGAATTCGAACCATTGCATCTAATATTTTACAATTGATAGTCAAAAATAATCGGTTAATAAGAATAACCATTTGTAATAAAATCAATTGAGAAAATTTGAATATTAATACAAGTAATAAACATACCAATATTCATGAAGTAATCAATAAATAAAACCCCGATCCAACATCTCGTGTTTTCTTCATATGAAATGTAAATATTGAAAAAATCCACCAATCAATCCCAATATAGACATCAATGTAATGACAATGACGCACTCACTTTAATCAACGATGGTTGTTGAGAAAATGATAATTTCGGTTTGATATGATAACCAAGAATTATAATCGAGAGATAAAATACAACCTTTCCTATTGAACTGACATTTACTTCCATAAAAACAATCATACACATATAATATTCATTATAAAAACATTTCAATTCAAAATTTTCTCAACATAATAATGGATCATATTTTACTCGATCAAAAATGCGAATACGATCATAACGTTAAATTAATCGTTTCTTCGATAAATAAACATCGCTGATTCCATTACAAATTCTATTTGTATATATTTCGACGCAATAAATCTTTCTCGTAAGACAATGAAATAATAATTTCGTTGAGAAAGTTCAATAAACAAAATATAAAATAATTGTGTTACATCAGTGGCAATTCTCTTCATTCTCTATTTAATTTTCTTAATTGTTGTAATCGATTGATGTTTTGAATTTTCAAATACTCTTATCAAATGTCCAAAGAAAATCGATACTACTCGAATCATTTCTTCATTAAATTGAATCTCAATTCGATCATCCTTTGGAACACATAATCCATTATTTTCATATAAATTATTCGTACTAAATCGAAAGTTAAGCAATAGGAATCGAATGAGCATGAACAATTATATTTTACATGACATTGAACTCGAGAATAACCAGAATCACATGGACAGAAATATGAAGAATTTTTATTCGTTTACTAATAACACCCTCAAATGTTAAATTAATCCGTTTATTTTGTCATTGACATCGCAAGACAAAGACATTTATTATTTAAATCTTTATGGAATAGAATAATCAATCATTGGTAACACTGCCAATTATTTTTTTCGTTGAAATTGTTTCGATTTGACCAGGGGAATAACAGTAAATGTTGATAGTAAGTAACTTGATCGTGAAGTTTTCCATCTCACAAATCAAATCATCTGTTGATGTTAGTAGCATGTGAACTATTTGAGAGATAGGTCGAAATTTAATTTGCCTTAAACGAACATCTTCATCTGCTTGAAATGACAATAAGTGATCAGAACAAATCTGTTTCAAAGTAATCCACTTTGTATGATTCCATAGCAAAATAATTCATCGAGTTGCTTGATGTTTGGCTATTAAAATAGATATTTCGAAAAATATATTCTTCTTAATTATTGGAACGTTTTTCTAATAAATAAGCAACTCATGATATGCAATGATCTCTGTTCCAGGTCATCATGTTACATAAAGTCGGTGTCAATGAGAAATGATTTGTACTATCACAAAAAGTCTAATCGGTGATTGATTGATTAAAATACTTCTCTTTCAATTCACAACTTGTCGTGACCTATTTTTTGTTTTGAAAGAAAGAATTGCTCGATATTTTTTCCCTGAGTTTCTCATGACGACAAAAAGAACTTTTTTCTCGGTGAGTTCAATTACATGTTTGCTGCGCTGCATTTAAAAAAAATGTAATAACAATTTCTTTTTCTTTCTTTCTTTGTATGTGAAAACCGTGCGCTATTCAAAAGAAAAATATCTGAGTGAAAATATCATTTCTTTTTGCGCTTGTTGCAAGTATGGCGTCAGTAGATGAAAATCTCGAAAGTTTTTCTCTTGTTTGGCTTGATGAGAGTGGTAAAGATGAGACCAACATTGAAGAACAACTTCAAAAGTGTATCAATCATTTGAAAATATTCGAAGATGATAAGAATTTTGAAGTCTATATTCGATCTGTACGCGAAGAAGATCGAATTATTTGGATTATAAATAATCATTTAGGTCAAGTGATCATACCACGTCTGCATCAACTACAACAAATATCATCAATCTATATTTATGATACAAATAAAAAATAGAAACAGAATGGACGAAGAAATATGCAAAAGTAAATATAATAACATCTATAATAGAGAACTTTTTATTATTTGTGTATTGTAGGTGAAAAGTGTAATCAGTGAGTTCAATGATCTTATCGAATTAATTCAAATGGAACATAGTCGACGAGGAGCTAAGAAAATCGAAGAACAACTTGTATTAAATGTATTCAATACGAGTTCTACTGATGAACAATCAACGACTGGTCTCAATGGTCAATTCATCCATTCACAATTACTGATTAATTGTTTACTTCAAATGAAAGCAGCTTCAACTGATAAAGACGAAATGATTTCATTATCGAAAAAACAATATAAAGATAACAAAAATGAATTATCTATTGTTCATGAATTTGAAGAAAATTATTCATCGGATCGAGCAATTTGGTGGTATACACGTGAATCATTCTTATATCGACAATGGAACAAAGCTCTTCGTGTACAAAATATTGATTTATTATTTATTTTTCGTTTTTTTATTCGTGATATTCAAGAATAACTCGAAAAACATCAATGTTCATCATCTATTCGTGTTTTTCGAGGTCAATTAATGTTAAATGAAGAATTCAAATTATTGAAAGATTCAATTGGACAATTAATTTCAATGAATTCATTTCTTTCAACAAGTACCGATCGTCGACTGGCTCTATCTTTTCTTTATTCTTCAACTGTATCAGATAATATGTAAAGAATATTATTTGAAATTGATGCTGATCCTCGACTGGAAGGTATCCGACCATTCGCTAACATTACCAGCCTTAGTTATTTTCACGGTGAAGAAGAAGTACTTTTTATGTTAGGTTCGATCTTTCGTTTAGTCAGCATTGATCAAAATGATCGCGGAATTTGGATCGTTCGATTAACATTATGTAATAATAGTGATCCTGATCTACAAGCTGTTTTTGATTATATGAAAGATCAATATGGTAATGGTGAAACAACTATTCTTTCACTTGGTTTAGTATTAGCACAAATGGGTAAAAATGATGAAGCAGAGAAATATTATCGCAGTCTATTAAAAGAAATAAATCCAACTGATTATGAAGATATTAGTGCTTGTTATCATAATCTTGGTAATTTATTTGATGATAAAGGTGATTATCAGTTGAGTCTTGATTGGCATCATAAAGCACTTGAAAGCATGATTAAAATATTCAGATCGGATGATTCCATAATAGCAACTAGTTTTAATAGCATAGCTGCTATTCATTCGAAAATGAATAATTATGATGAAGCACTCGATTGTTATTTGAAGGCATTGAAGATCTGGAAACAAGCATTAGGTGAAGAACATCCGACTATTGGTCAATGTTTAAGTAATATAGCTGGTCTCTACCAAATGTACGGGAAAAGTTCGGATGCACTCGAATATCTGCAAAAACAGGGGTGTCCCGATCGGGGGGAGGGGGGGTGACCCCCCCAATGTTGAAAAATTTTCTTTTTTCCCCAGCAAAATTTCAACATTTTTTCAGTTTTTTTGCTCACTAACTCTCAAACCAATCTTGCCCCCCCCCCCCCAATCTTGGCAACCTCGGGACACCCCTGTGCAAAAAGCTTTAATTATTTATCAGCGACATCTTCCTGCTAATAATCCTCAAGTAGATGCCCTACATAATAATATTGGTGCGATACATTTGAGTCTCGATCATTTGGATCACGCCTTAGAACATTTAAATATGTCACTTAATATTAAGAAAAAATGTCTGCCTTCACAACATCCTGATATTGCAATGACATTTACGAATATTGGTCTCATTTATGAAAGTAAAACAGAATGGCAACAAGCAGTCTCATATCTCGAAAAAGCAGTTAATATTTATCGTCATGTACTCCATCCTAATCATCCGATTTTAATTGAAGTCGAACAACTTCTTGCACGTGTTTCTTCGAAATCTAAAATGACATAATACAATATTGACTTCATGATAACAAATTTCATGATTAAATTTCTTTGTATTCACAACTGAGATTAAGGGTGAGGGTGAACATGATGTTTCTCTCGTTATTCTTACTTGAGGGTGTGGGTGTGGGTGGGTGTGGCGGTGGGGGTGTGGGTGCGGGAGGGTGTGGGTGTGGTTGTTTATTGTTCATCCACACGCACATTCACATTCATATCGGGTGAAGGACGTTTCGTCTCACCTCATTCCGAATTCCGGACATGCGTCCGGATGTTCGGAAATGAATTTTTCCTTGACCGGAGTTCGTAAACGTTCGGGGACAGAAGATCGTAATAGAAAAGCAGGGAAATTGGAATGGTTTGACCGGATGTTCGGAACAGAATATTTCTTGATATATCTGATGCAGGTCTGGAGATCGTAATGAATAAGGTCGGATGTTCGGAACTGGAAGATTGAAATGACATTGACAAGGAATTCGTAAAAATAATTGGTCGGAGATCGTAACAGATATAAAGATTTTTCTTCTGTTTTTATAGACAAGAACAGGGTTTATTTACTTAGTACAACTATACTTATATATA